GATAGATAGATAGATAGATAGATAGATAGATAGATAGATAGATTGCTCCAGTCTACCTGTCATCCTTCTTCTTCTTTTTCTTCTTATCCTTGTCATCATCTTTGTCTTTTCCCTTGTCCTTTCCTTTGGAATCACCTTTCTTACCCTTACTGTCCTGTTCCTCTTTCCCTCCTTTCTTTCCTCCTCCTTTCTTTCCCTTTTTTCCTTTGCCGGCATCACTGTCCTCCTCATCGCTATCTTGGGCCTTGCCTCCTTTCTTCCTATTGGCTGCACCTCCTCTCTTCTTCTTGGGACCCTCATTCTCGCTTTCATCTTCATCATTATTTTTCCCACCACCGCGTTTCTTGGCCGGCCGCCTGTTGTTCGCCCCTTTGCGCGCCCTGGGAGCTTCATCTTCCTCCTCCTCGTCCTCATCGCTATCTGGTTTTTTGCCTCTGCCTCTTCCTTTTGCACCTCCTCTTCCAGCTGCCTGCCTCCTGTTTGTTCTTTTCTGAGGGGCTCCATCTGCATTATAAAACACGGATCATAGCATTTGAAATCCTGAGCACTTGATTTGACAGTTTACTGGGTTGAATATTTTTTGATAAGCAATTCGATTCACTTACCATCATCACTCAGATCGCTGTCTATCTCTATCCCAACTTAAAAAGGATCACACACAAGAATAGAATTAAACATTTTAACAAAAGCACAATCAAACTCCTGTTAAAAAGAGCTTCAGAACTTGCTTTTAGGGTTATGAAACTCATTGATTGGCATTTGAAATACCCCCTCATGTTCTCAATATAGCAAACTGTTAGAACTTCGTTCTCCCTCACGTTTTCAACATTGTGAACTGAAGGGACTTTGTCCTTCTTAATTTTATTTGTATATTTTGTGAAAATTATTTAATCCATTAAAAACATTTCAAGTCCCTTTTACATCTCTTTGAAATGTAGCTGATGTTCAATAAAACTCAAAATGATGTTAATCATGATTAATTTGTTTTGCTGAAAAACACTAGCAAAGCATTAGCATAGCACTGTAAGCACTGAGCTGAACTAATACCAGAACATTGTTAGATTTTAAATAAATGAATTTATAAACATATAGAAATGTTTAAAGACTTGGTATTACTGGTATATGTAACAAGTTCAATTCATTATGACTTCATCATAGCATCTGAAAGCAAGTCTAAAAAGCTATGCAAAGCTATCTGTGTTCTTTAAACAAGGCCTCTAGAACTTGCCTCCATAAAATATCATAACCTTAAATGTGAAAAACACTTGAATTATTTTTCCAGTTGATAGTATGTGGACATTTCTGTCCATTGTACGTTTTCAAAATGTTTATAACAATGAGACAATCCCTCCCCACTAAGATTAAATGAATAAATGAGTATCTTATCTTATATCTTATCCAAAACCATCCAAATACATACTACTTTTGGAGTTTATCCTTTTTTAGTTTTCACTGTGAGTCATTCTATTCCAAGCCAAGTACTTTTGCCTAAGCAGTGTTTACTCCTGCTCTCTTACTCTTGACAAACATTTATATCTGGCCATAATGGATTTTCAGCACCCAAAAATAAACGTTGCATAACGCTGGGCTGGAGTACACCAAAAATGTATTTGTGAAGATTTTGCTCTCGGACTGACAATCATTTTATTTTGCTTCAGGGAAAAACACGGCCCAAGCTGCTGCTCGGGTTTATGATCATTGACTTATCACTAAATCAGCATGCTAACATGCCAAACTAAAGCTTGGAAAACATTTTAAGCGTTCGATGTCAGCATTTAATCTTTATCAGTTCAGTAAAAACTAGTGCCAGGCCTGCTGAAGCATTAAAGTCACAACCACCACCTTTCATTTACCATAGTTATTTCGCATAGTTCATTCAACCACAAAAAATCCAGAGGAGACCTTAACCAAATATATAAACTTAGCCAAACATGTAATGATGATGCTCGTATATGTTTACTCCTTTGCTAAAAAAGTAGATTAACATCTGCATAAGTTGGTCGTTCATGCTTACATAAAAGGATCAAAGGTCAATTTGTATATGAATACACAAAATATTCGTATTTTTTGTGTTTAGTACTGGACCACAGAATACATCATAAAAGGCCACAAAATAAGATTCAGCTTACCATCCTCAGAAGCAGCAGCACCCCTTCTCGGCATGGTGAAAAATGAACGCCTGTCCTCTGCGTGCTGTATGCGTCCGCAGGGCTCTGACCAGGCTCCCCGCCAACACCCAACTCGGGTGTCTCACCCTCTTGTCGCTGCGGCAACAGCTGCGTGAGGCAACGGGTGTTCAGAGCTGTGTGTAGTTCATTCTGGAGAAACAAAGGGGATCCCCTATTACTTATCAAACTGTTTTCATTAGACTTTCATTGAACACTACATACCTGTATTGATGTAGGAACAGCTGTGTCGCATGAATGTTTGATATCAGACCTACACCAGAGCTGAAAGAAGCATTCATTTTTGGTTCTGTGTTATTTAGAACCACCATAGAAAGAACCACATTAATAAAGCTTCTCGAAACACTCTCACTCACCCTGTTATTGGAGACCAAACACACGAGAACTCCAGACGTTCTGAAGTTTTAATGAAGGTTTGGGTTTCGTTAAGAGTCCCATTAGCCAAGCTGTGAATGACCCCTTAGTATGCAATTATCATATATTCTATTTACTTATGGTGTGTTAGTAAAAATACAGAGTCAAGCCAACAGGAAGAGACACTGACAGAGTTCTCTGTATGTGAGTGACACAATTTGGCCTGACATCTCAGTCTTTAAATAATAGAGTAGAGCTCACTTTTCACATCTTTAATGATTCCATTACACGGTCATCAGTTTCCACAGGTGAGATGTATACCACAACTCTAAAGACCATTGTTGATGTTAACTGGAATGTACTTTAGGTTAAACATTTGCTCTATTGCTGCTTATTGAAAAAATTTGTGCAAAGATCATGTTAGTGTGAATCATAGATTGACATTTCCACCGAGATGCAGGGTTTAAAAAAAAACAAACAAACAATATGTTTTATAAGACCTAAAAAGACTTTGGTGTACAAGGCTGTGGAATAACTATGGCAAGACTAGATTTGTCGACACAAGTCCCTTGACGAAAATAACAAAGTGGCACAAGAAAAAGGGAGACCCCAAACTATGAGTACACATGGAGAAGAATAGGTAACAGGTAGACACAATTGGGAATCAGGTAAGACTATGAGACTGATGGCTAAAGGCGGAGGAGCAAGTGACCTGAAACAAGAGGAGAGTTGCTATTTCAAAATAAAACAGAAGATAACAAGACAAAGAGACTTTGCTCGGCTGACTTTGTCTCTTTGTACTCTGATTAGCATGAGTGAGTATCTCACATTGGGGAGTACTCTGGGTGTGTCCTCATCAAAAGCTCCTTTTGCACTTTTCCAGCCAGGATTGGCTGAGGAAAAGCCTGTCAGTGACAGGGAGGATGAGATCCTCCGCCTATATATAGTACTGGCACTGCACAGGCAGCTTACCGCTCACCTCTAAAACGTTCACCTCTTCCTCGCTACGAAAGAGGAAGGAGGGTGGCTTGGTGAGACACTCGCTCGTGCTACTCAGATAACTGGGGGAGAACAAGTAACCTAAAGTTTTCTTTCATAGCATTCATTTTGTGTCTCATGGTGGAAAAAATATCATCTCCTGCATCGCTAAGCAGACAACCTACTACGAAAGTAAGGCCTACAGAGCATACTCTAATGGCCCAGAATGGACCAATGGAGGCACAGTGACATAAACCTTGTAGAACCTAGTAAATGTGTGAAGAGAGGCCCAGCTTGCAGCAGCAAAGATCTCCTGAACGGACACTCCCCTAAACAATGCCCATGAGGTAGTGAGACCCCTTGTAGAGTGGGTCCATAGACCCTCCGGGGGTTGCAACCCCTTGGAGTTGTAGCCATAAGCAATTGCATCAGCAATCCAATGAGAAATCTTCAGAGCTGTTGATGATCCTCAGTTGAGGAGGACGGAGGACAAGAGGACACCAAATCAATTTGGGAACATGGCCCCAACACTGTCAGCATAAACTCAGGGTTGGGGAGCAGGCTAACCCTTTTATCCCGAGTAGAACTTTACGCATGACTAGGGTCAAGTGTACTGAGAGTGCGTAGAGCTCAACCACACGCTTGGTTGACGCAAGTGCCAATAACAGCACTGTTAATATTTTCAACTGCATCTGTTCCAGGGGTTCAAAAGAGGAAACACTGAATGTGTCTAATAGCAGAGGTACTGTAGGTCCCATGATGGAGCCAAAGGTTTGGAGACTGGGAGCTTGCAGCACGCTCCCATCATGAACTGACTCACTAAAGGATGCAGTCCCCATTCTATTACCTTATCCTTTTAGTTTTTTTCAGTTTCTTTACATCATAACAGGTCCGGCAGGCCCCGGCCTGCACTTCGGGCCATTGGACGTTAAGCGTACCGGTAGTATTTTTCTTGTATGTCTAGTCTTCACAACCCAGTGGGGTACCTCTTAATAGTTCAGTCTGAGATCACAAATGGCTTATCAAGAAACCAAGGAAAGAGTTAGGAAGGTTTCCCAAGGTGTATCAAGTAGAAATTAGATTTGAATGCTTCAAATGAAAGTAATCATGTCTCACATTGATATATTCAAATCAAATGATTATTTTCTTACTGAGTAAAGCTTTAAGCTTACTAGGGTCCAGAGGTTGGCATCTCTCTGCAGACGGATTTACCTTGTTGGCCCATCCTGTCAGGTTGGACTTCAGTAGGACATAGTTGCACCTAATAAATTGTAAGAAAGACAAACAAACATGGATAAAAAATACAGAAAATCACCAGTGACTGTTTTAAGTTTTTAATCAATCCTTGTACTTACTGATATTGGTTTGGGAGATGTGGGTTGAGAAGGTGAAGATAAAGCAACGCTGGCCTCACATTAATTTTACCTTCATAGCTTGATATATCTGTGACCTTGTCAGAAGGAAGAGTCTTCACAGCCTCTAACAGTGATAGAATTTCTGGAAAATGCGGCAAACCGTGTTTAGTCTCGGGTGATCATCAAAATTTGGTTACCAAATGGGTAACTTGAACAGGAGGAAGCATTGATGTTTTTCATACAGAAAACAGAAGTTTGGTCTTTTGGCCATTAGGTGCCAAAAGAGCCAAGCAGTGCCAGAGATTAATTCATTCTTTGGATTAACTCCTGACAAACCACAAAAGAGACGGTTCTGGTTATATATCCATCCATTATCAATACCGCTTATTCCATGATGGGGTCGCGGGGTTCTGGTTATTGAGCAGTTTTATAAGGTTTTATATCAAGCCAGAAGCTGTTTATAATGATTAATTTCAAGCCAACTACTGATATTGTGTTATCATACTCATAGTGGTTACTTGTTTCAATGACACATCTTCCTTTGTGAGTGGACCCTTATTCCAACTCACCATTACAAATTAGACACTTTTTGCACATTTCTTTCATTTCTATCAATTCTCTTATTTTTTCTTCTCTGAACCTACATTTTATTAATTTTTCTCAGAGACACATCATCAATGATTAACATAAGTGTTAACAGTGTAAAGTCTTTCCATAAATTCTCAGTATGACATCATCTTATCTGACATATTTTGTAGTTTGGGGCTTGAATACTCTTTCCCAGTCCGAGTGTGTTGTCAGAAAGGAGCACAACTGCAAATATCTGATGGTCACCCAGGAGGGGCTCAAAGGAGAGACGCTGCTCCTACGTATTGAGATGAGCCAGATTAGGTGGTTTGGACACCTGGTCAGGATGCCTCCTGGAGTGAGGTGTTCAGGGTACATCCCAACAGGAGGAGACCCAATGGAAGGCCCAGGAGATGCTAGAGGGACTGTGACTCTCGGCTGGCCTGGGAATGCCTCCGGATTCCACAGGATTCCTATGGAGGAGCAGTTAGATGTGGCTGGGGAGAGAGAAGTCTGGGCTTCCCTACTTCGGCTGCTGCCCTTTCAACAGATAAGCCAAAAAAGAGGGATGGTAATTTCTTGGAGACAGAGCTGTTTAGAAAAGTAAAATAGCTGATCATACTCATAGTTGGTAGTTGAAGAACCTAAAATACAACATTTTAGGTTGCTCAACAGCTCTACTGGCCCAAGGTTTACTAAATTATCATTTCAGATTCACCCTAGGTTTCAGTTGCAGTGATTGCAGTGGGGTTGTCTTCTAAATGTAGTCCATGGCCTTTACGGGGTCCCGAAACACCTCAATGTCCTCTGTATATGATTTCTACTCTTGCTGGATGAAGTAATCCCAAACTGACATTGTTTCGTCCTCATAAAGCTCTCTGTGCCTCTATAAAAGTGGGCATGGCTTGGTCATACTGGTGGTGTTTTTAGTTATATCCCCCCATCCATTATCGTTACCGCTTATTCCCTATCCCAGTGGTCAATGGGCGAGAGGCGGGGTACACCCTGAACAGTACGCCAGTCCATCGCAGGGCCTGTTTTTAGTTATATTCAGTTATATTTCTATTGCATCAAATAACAGAACTCATAATCTCCCGAATCTAAATAGATTTAATTAAAAAATCGTCTAATTCATACATCTTTGATTTTAGCTGTAAATAATTTGCTATGCATGATCACAGCTATGGGGTCATTTCTCACCAAAGAATGAAAGCTGTATAAAATGTATATGGAAATAGTATTAAAATGCTAATTATTTTAATTAATTTGACTAATAAGAGGTCAAAAGTATTTTTAGAGATTTTAAAATGTACAGCAATGTGGTCAATAACCAGTATTGGGTGATGTCTTTTTTTTTAGTTACGTTTGTTTCTCTATCATCATTACCAAAGCAATTTTGCAATATAACACGAAAAAATGCTTATAGCAGCTTTCTTCATATCTCTATTGGGATGTAGCAATGCTACAGTAGATGTGAGTGTTTCACCACCCTCATTTAAAACATTAGTCAAACATATACATTTAACTAAAACTGTCAACCTGTATTTATGAACTCTTCATTCTTGATCAGGACCTCAGTTTCAATTTGTATTTGTGAATTGCATGTATTATTCACACCCATGTTGCAAGGTGTTTGGAAGATTGCCATCACGTTTGACTTTGTGTTGCATTGTAGTATGTATGAGTCAGTCATGCCATCTAGTGTTCACCCACAATACTGAAAACCATTAATATCTGAAATTTGCAAGTTAGAATAAACTCTATTCTAAAAACTGAAGTTGTAAATAGGCTGTTTATAATTCAAAAACTGTAAATGTGTTCATCAAGAGCCGAAAAATGTGTTAGGATGCCCGTCATGCCCCATTTTCAAATGAGCTGAAATCATGAATGACCACACAGCAGAATGGAAAAAGCATTTAAAATGTTAAGCTGACAGGTATTACTAATTTTCACCCTATTGAGAAATGTGCTCTGTGGTGTGAAGTATAATAGTTAATTATAATAGTAGGAAGGTTGTACAAATTTACCAAAACCACCACTTATTACGTGAGAATTAGTACCTACCTCTGATATTTGGCTGTACTAAAAAAAAAACACTTCACTGTGAAATGTGTTATTGGTGTAACTCTGTTTTCTTCTTAAACAGACTGACTAAATCATGCGACGATCACCGTTTGGGTCCCATTACCAATTATTTCAAAGGAAAGACAGGGCTGTCAAGTAAGCAATGAGCCCTTACAGTGCATTCTTGTGCCAATACAAGAGCACCATGTGCACATGTATGCAAAGGAGGTGCTATAACATGACATACGGAGACCCAGTTTTCATCTTCAGAGACCAAAGCACCATGGAAACAGAATACAGCTAGTTATTGTGCAAGACATTTTGAAGCTTCCCAAGAAAAAAAAAAAAAAAAAGCATTTTCTGAACGCTTACTCAAAACTGCTCGAATTATAATTATGGGCTCATACTTATTGAGCATTTTACATTGTAGCGGTGTTGGCCAGACCCTAATATCCAAATTTCTAGGCTGGTTTTGAAAAATACCCTAACCCCATCAAAACCTTTAGATTACTCAGCTGTGTTCATAGATTCAGTGCGATTTCATTTTAAACCTGTCATCTGTGGTATTATATGAGCATTAACAATTAAGCAAACAACCCAATAAACCCGTCTCGGCTTCCTGGACTCGATTTTGAACGGAACATTTTACTAACTGCTTAACATAATGGACAACACTACAAACCTTCCACAGAGTAGTTGCCAATTTTGGGCATTACAGGGGATCACCAATTTTGAAATCCCTATTACTAAATCCTTCGGGAGCCACATTTCTCTAGCATTTAGACTATTTTTCAGAATTGCCAACACTAGCCTTTTCCAGTTGAATATTAGTTCATTCAACAGGAAACAAGCCAGACATATGGCTAATTTGCTTTGTCCTATTTCAAAGTGATGTCAAGGAATTAGAAAACAAGAACTGTGCCCGTCATCTACAAAGTTGATATGGGGAGCCGTTATCAGGAGCTCTCTATTAACAATTACATTTTTTCCACAACAACATATGAATGTCAGACTAAATTTTCAAAGATGTTCAGATTTGTGAACATAATTTATTTACATCACACAGTTTATTATTGAAGATTACACAGACAGCACTATATAAATACGAAGGTTTGTACAAACTCTTAACTAAAAGGGGTTAAAAAAAAAAAAAGTCAACCAAAGCAGCAAAACAGAAGAAAAACAATTATTCAAACTCATTTCTTACAAAGTCAACGCAGCACACAACCATTTAGCTTCAAAATACTCATCCATGCAGCAGGCCATTATCCCCGACACTGATTTCAACTTGCATTACAAACAGAAGAAAACATTCAAGGGAAGTGAAAAAAATTGACATTTTAGTGGACCTAAACCCTTCCGAAAGCTACACGTCATTCAACAGTAAAAGAGGTTCATATTGTCATGTGAATTAGTGGACGGTTAAAAGAAAAGAAAAAAAAAAAGGAAGTGTCTATACCATTCAAATCATAACCGCAGAGAGGGTCAGCCCCAAAATCAGTGTCAAAGGAAAAAAAAAAAAAAAAGAAAATTGGGAGGGGGGGGGGGGGGGTGATGAGCTAGCAAGCAAAGGCCAACAACCAAGTCTCTTTTTCAAAGTCTCTCGAAACATTTCTTATTCTCGTAATAAATCCCACTTTGCTACTCAAGCCAGCAGAGAGCAAGCACAGCTGAGGTGGAAATGAGTCTCAGAGTCCAAACAAGGCCCAAAGCGTCCAGAGCTTTACCGGGATGACCGCGGGAGACAGAGTGGGCAGCCAGGAGAAGCCGTTTTGTTTTTCTCTTTACGTTCTTCTTTGATCTCCGTGGTCGCACAGCATGGCAAAAGGCCACCCCGACAATCTGATTACACGGCGTTTCTCTGCATAAACACATCAAAAAAACCTTGAAGCCGAACACGTGAACACGTTTGCACTGGGGTGGACAAATTCTTAAGATGTAACAAAAGGAGAAACAAAAAAAATTGTTAGGCTCAGGTCCATTTTTGAAGATGATCCTCCTCCGTGCTCAGAGTCAAACAGAAGCCTCTTCATATTCTCTGGATCTTGTCGGCCACTACCATGGGGTTCTCTTTGCGAATCTTGGCAGCGGCTTCTGATCTGTAGTCGTACGGACAGCTGTGCTTATCAGAGTAACGGTGAATTCCACAGAAAAGGTTCCCACAGCGACAGTCAAAACCTGAAAATGCCCAGGCAGACAAGAGAGAAAGCTTATGACACCTCGGAATGATGAATTCCATTTAAAAAAAAAAAACGAAAAAGATTCAATAAAACAATCCTGTAGATCACTTATAAAAAGCAGAACAGCCAGTGTGATTTGTCATCGTTTTCAGGAAGAAGTGTGAAAGTTTCTGCTGTTTGCTGTAAAACCAAAAAAAGCGATGGCTGTAATTTGTCAGAAAAATTCTCTGCTGTTCCAGGAAGAAATGACTTTGTTTTATGTCACCTGGAAACTAGCGAAAATCCCTCTGTGAGCTCGTAGGTAATCGGTAGGAGGGTAGGGGTCTCTCACCTGTGAGGCCGACCTTTTTACGACACGTAAAGCAGCGGTTCTTTTTGGGTTTGGGGGGCTCTGGGTTCTCGACCTCTTCACTGCCAGCAGTGGAGGGACTGGACACTGAGACGGTGGGCTGACACACCACTGGGGACCAACAGGGGAGGGGGAGGTCCATTAGAAAAAAACCCCCCAAAAAACTAACCTCTCCAGCATATATATACGGCGGTAAAAACATTAAATTAGATCATAATGGTATCCTTTTCTAAAAATGAAATTGTTAGCTAACAAGTTTGTCTTGTAACCAACTTATTAAATATCATATCAGTAAAACCAGGTCCCAACTTTAAACCCAAAACGACCTGAACTACTTCTGTGCATTTCACATTTATGCTCATTGCTTATATGAACACATTTTAGAATAATGGATAGTTCAAAGATATTATGAATTATGTTACACTACCCGGCTGTATCCAATAAAAGTGTGTTTCTGCCCACCTGGCTCAGTGATTTCTACTGTGCTTCCTGATGCTCCTTTCTCCTCTGAGGAGAGACTCATTTCAGTCATCTGTTGCGTTACAGAGATGGCAGTTGAAATCCCACTGTGAGGAACATGGAATGCGTTAAAAAAGATTTGAAGTTAGAAGGAACTAACTCGGTACTCAGTACAGAGCTGTTCGGCCGCCTGGATTGAACTGAACATTTCAATCGTGGCAGAAAAAGCGCTTCCTACAGCTCCCAAAATATTTCCCATTTACTGTTATTCAAGCCGCAATGGGATGTCTGTCAGCTGTTATGGGCTCCTCTCTCCTTTTGCCGCTTGCTGGACAAAATCAGTGGACAGCAGAATCAGGGACAGACCAAACCGAACAAAACATAGCTATGGTTTGTCCAAAAAGGGAATACGTTTTTCACATGGTGCTTCTTCAACGATAGGAGCAGACACGGCATTCAAAAGGCACCAAATCTACCTTGTTCTTTAGTTTTATATTAGATTTTTTTTTTTATGTGGGTTGTCGAATATATTTGAGTGGCAAACCCGAATATCATGTACAGTGAGGGAAATAAGTATTTGACCCCTTGCTGATTTTGCAGGTTTGCCAACTTACAACGAATGCTTATTTTTCCTCATCAGATGGTTATCAATTTTTATCAATTCATATGATGTGATTTTCTGGAATTTTCTTTGGGATTCTGTCTTTCACTTTTAGAATGTACAAAAGTTATAGCAAACCTGCAAAATCAGCAAGGGGTCAAACATTTATTTCCCCCACTGTATGTATGAAAACCGTAATTGTCTCGTTAATTCTGGACAAAGACACCGGCGTTCAGCGTAACTTGTTTGACATGTAATAGCTTTGGTTTCTAAAACTCAGCAATTTGCACAAAGACAACCAAGATGGTTCGGTAACACAACAGACATGTTAAATAACTGTCCAAGGTGTACAAATCGCCCCATTGAAACAGATAGAACAGTAAAATCAATCCCGTTTTCGATACAAAGCAGACATTTTACTCATTCAGAGCCGGTTACCTGAGAGCATCTGGCCCAGCAGCGTCAGAGGCTGCAGCAGCAGCTGCCACCTCCGCGGCAGCAACAGCAGCAGCGGCAGCATTATTCAGGGTGGCCTCTAACCTCTGGATGGCAGAGGCCTCAGGTGTGGAGCTGCTGCTGGTGCCTGAAGGGAGAGCACAACAAACAGCCGGGTTCGGTGCTCGGAGGTGGAACGGCTGCTCACACACACAGAGAGGCCGGGCGAAACAGAAATGGAAGCTGAAACTCGGTGGGTCTTACCCACGGTGCTCAGAGAGCCGACGCCCCCGTTGTTCTGTCTAGATAGGTGCTCCTTGTGGCAAACGGAACACATGCCATTAGTCCTTGGGTTGCCATAGAAACCACAGCCAGTGGCACAGAGCATAGGGACTGGGCTCTGATTGGTTTCCTGGGCCATAGCAATGTCTGCCACCTGCTGAGTTAACCTGAACACAAACAAAAGCACAGTCAACCAACACACAAGGGAGGAAAAAAAAAAAAACTAAAAACACTCAGTGGTGCGACAATTACATTAAAGTGCTTTTGAAAGAAGAATGGCTAGGTAAAGTCCAATTCTGCCCTTGTAGTCACTGTTTTCAAACCCTTTCAGAGTGTGAATATTATCAAAAGATGTCAAACGCTCTCATTTTTTGTTTGACCACATTTATTTTTATGTGCGGTTCAACTTTACTAACATGCAATTCTATTGTTGGACCAGAGCTATCTATCGAAGGCTGCTCATATTTTCATGTCCATCCACTGGTCAGGAGGTGAGCCACTTCGAATAATAGACACTGCACTATTCCAATTTACACAAGTCTCTAAATTGTATTTACTTTATTGTATACTACTTATATAAGACTGATTGATGATCTAATATACAGTATATTTATGCAAAACTAAAATGTGAAGCGATCAAATAATGTCAGATGTGTTTAGAGCTTTGTGAGTGACAAGGAAAATAAATATTCTAGTTGGCTTTCAGTAAAGTGCATCCAAAATGTGTAACTCTTACTAAACAGTAGATGTCCTGGTGTGATTAATATAAACAAACAAAAATAAACAATAAGTTCTATTAAAAATTTGTATGTAACTTGACCTTACAAGATAATTGCCAACTCTGTTTTTTGTCACCTTCCTCCTCTCACCAAAATGTCAACATACCGCCAAGCAGTTCTCACATTCATGCCAGATTCATGCCGACATGTGAGAAACTCACATGTAGCAGTGCATGACAGCTTCCCCCTGTCACAGGAGCGTAATGTGATCGCAAAGTCACGCACTCACGAGTTCCCTAAATAGAGTAAAGCTTCAGATACATCTATTTATAAACAACCTCCAAACTCTTTGCATTTGGCCGTGTGCCAAAATCTTCCTCAACACATCGGCCGTTTAGCAAATAAAAACGTTTTATTTCTATGCTATTTCCATCCGGAGGCCTTTTAGTCTCCCGATTAGATTTTGGGGAAGGGGGTGTCTGAACCACAAAACATGGTGAATGATGGAAGATGTACATAGTGTTCAATACAAGTTGAGAATGGCGTATTAGGCTAGTTATGCTGATCATCTCAGCAGAACGGAGAATGAAACAGGAAGATCTTTCATGTGTATCACTTTGCAGCAAATGTTCCAGACAATTTGCTGCCAACAGGGGTCTTAATGAAAGATATACAGAGCAATTGGACATTAAAACATTTCAGAACAGCAGCGCATGTGGGTACACTTACACTGACCAATCAGGCTGTCCGTCCAGCCTCATTGATGTCCATATCTGCAAACTGACTGGGATCTTGCCAACTGTATGTATATAAAGCTGAGCCTGAATATAACTTGCACGGAAATCATACAATGTGAGATTAACTCACATTAATTCACAAAAACACCAACTGATTGAGTTCGTCCCTAACAAAAATCAAAGCAGGATAAGATTTTAAAAGGTGTATTGAACACAACACTGACAGAAATGCAACTTTCAAATGACAATACAGCTCTGTATATTTGTTCAGAAGACAACCAGTTGATGTCACCACCATGAATTATTTCAAGACTAATATCAGCCATTGCTTAAAGTTCCTACTGAACTTACAAGTCTGTGAATAATTAATTAACCCCTCTCTCTTCCCCATCGGTCCAAGTTTAAATAAGACTGGTGGCCCTGATTCATTCATTTATACATCCGTCGATTAAAAATACAAACTCCCAGACAAAAGACAGTATCAGTACTGTGACCCACAAGCGTACTCCTTTCCACTTCCCTAACGCAGAACTAGCTTACACCTTACAGAGACTGGATTGGGCAGACAAATCATGCCATTTCGACATTCTTAGATGTATCAATCAAGCAAAAAAACAAATAAAAACCAAGACTTAACTCGACAACAATCCTGCATAGGTCCATGAGCATTACTGGGCCACAACCGTGTTATTTCTACAAATCCACTGAGTCATGCTAGCTAGCTAATGGCTGATGCTAACGCTACTTTCCGGACCATCACACTGAACTAGTTAGCTCTGGAGGTACTCGTCGTTAGCCATGTTCTTAAAAAATGTCTACCGACTACTCACTTATTACGATAACTATTTGTCATTCAGTTCAAGTTGAGTACAAGTTTTGGATAGTTAGCTACAGCCACCTTTGGAGCTCGTGAAGTCCATTATGTTAATATGATGAATGTTTTATCTAGTAGGGAACTGCTAGCTTTGCTGCATGCTTTGTCCTTTGTTTTTTCACCCAAAGCACAAAGGAGTTTTGCCGTTGGTTGTTTTTTTAACAATAACATAAAATAATGACAGATAAAGTAGTATTATTGGGAACAAGTGGGTAAACAAAAGCCACCCAGTTCTCAGAAATAATTGTCAAATGGATAAACCCTTATCCGACAACTCACTGTAAACTTGGGCAAAGCTACAGCTAATAGCGACACTGCTAGCAGATTAACATTAGCCAACGTAAATACAAATAGTCTCAATTGTTACTTACTGCACAGATCTGTGTTAAAACAATAACGTTATGTATCATGATTCTTAGCTTAAAATGTATCTTGCAGTGATAACACAAGTGATTTTACGACAAACATCGTTATCGAAGTCTAGAAGTTATCAGTGACACGTGTTAACTAATTATTTCAATCTCTGTCTGTAAATTGAACAAATTCATAATACATAGAGTCGATTAAATTATGGCAACTTTCCTGTTATAGTCTTATGGGGAGCTGTTTTCGTGTTAATTAACGTTGCCTAGACGTTTGATTCGACGGTGTTAACTTACCTCTCCTGTTAGAAAACCACTGTTTGTTTCTGGCAGATTTGACGACCGACGAATTTTTCTGACATCCACAAACTAGGGCCGTCTAGGTTAGTCGTCGGTTGGGACTCAGTCTTTGGCTCACGCAACTGCATAGACCTTTAAAGACTTCGGAGAACTAAGGACCGATTTCGTAGGCGACGTCCTCTCTCGAGCGCTCTGGTGGCATCTGTTTTATTTTACGGGCTACGTTTGCTTCTTGTCCATTTCCGGTCGACGTCACGGAAACAGTGATCCTGTAATTTGAAAGACAAGCGCTGGATTGCAGCCACCAAAGATTACAAGGCATTGCAAAACACCAAAGCTTCTGATGAGCTGTTTATCGCTAGTAGCCAGACAGACATGTTGCTTTTACATTCTCCCAGGTTCAGTTTCATTCAGGAAATTCTGATTTAGAGCTCTCACTTCTTTTGAAGTTGCCTAAGTCAGTTAGCATATCAATTAATTTAAGATAGTGATGGTATTGTACAGGCTCAGTGGGTCAATGTGGTCTTTAAGAATACAAAAAACTTTTCTTAACTGCTAATTTTCTGTCCTTAAATTACCAGAGAGTGGTAATGTAAGGGAGAAAAAAGTTTCCTAGAACATGTTTGCAAGTGTTACTTGTTGTTTGGAACTGTGTTTCAAATATCAATTTTATCAAATTGAGGGTTACAGCTGGTCTGGAATTAGTTAAGTTACAACCTGAAAAGGATTTATGATTTATGGTTTATTAAGTGGTAGAAGAAGATTGTCCATATCACATGATATATATTCCCATGTCTAAGTACTTTGACAGCACTGGCTTCATGGAGCTCATCGTAAGTCACTTGAGTTTGGCAAAGATTGATGAGGGAAAAAAAACAATTTTCAGACTTCTGCTTTCATTAATAGTTCTCCCCCAGCACTAATATAGAAAGATAAAACAACAGTCTATCGTCTATTATTATTATTGCTATAAATGCTAGAGAATGAGAACTGTATGGAAAAGTTCGCCAACGGGTGGAACTGCGATGGTAAGGGGTGTGCAAATACCGTATGTGAATACATTTAAGAACAATAATACAACATTTAGATCAAATAGAAAAAACACTAATAAAATAAAATGTTTTTTAAAAAATGAACACATTTTTTTTTCCTGCATAAAAAACGATAGATTCTGTATTTTGATCCACGAATTTCCGTATGGCTTCAACAGATTTATATATATAATAGTATCAATAATATATATATATTAAAAGCGCAACCTAACAGGAAAAGGAAATGGATATAAAGAAACCAAATCACATGACCAAAGGTTGTCTGGGGAACGCATCTAATACGCCGCGTGTAGCCAATCAGTAGCTCGAAGTGTTTGGTGCTCAGCCAATCAGCTTGTAGTGAGCGAGGATTTAAACCAAAACCCTGAGTCTTGCAAGTAAACCCAGCTATTCGCTGATACGACTCTTTGGGTGCTTGTGCAAAGCGTGGCAGACTTTGAAATGGCTCTTCGAGTGACGAGAGTAAGTACTTTTTGCTTTTATTTATTCCTTTTCCATACTTTCGACACCTTTATCTGAGATTTGTGCCTTTTGTTGTCTTTAAAAAATAAACTAAAATAAAAAGTGGTTTAAATGTCATCGTGCTCATGTGAGGAAATAGGGGAGTTGGCTGGTCCTTTCCATGGTAAAATATAGTTTAAAACCTGATGTCGAATGAATTGTTGCGTAATGCTTCCTAAATGCATATTTCAATTTTATTTTCAGAATCGCGTTGCCTCTACCAGGACCGACCTGGGTGGAAAGGCATGCTCCATGAACGGGCCTGCACTGAAGCCTCGAGCTGCTCTTGGCGAAATCGGAAACATCGCGGTGAACAAAGAGGTTCAGAAAAAGGCAAGTTTTCTTGTAAATTTCAACATTGTGAGATTTTTAAAAAAAATATGAAACTTAACATTCCAAGTTAATTCCACGTTTGCATTCCCTTTTCTGAATGGCATGCAAACGCTACAAAGTAGATTCTTTACAAATAAATGGTGAAGGCAGCTGCAATATGGTTACATTTATAAAGCCTATGTATTCAATTTGCCAGTTTCTCTTGTTTTTCAAGGATGCAGCTAAATTTGTGACTCAAACTATAATATCTCTTTATCTTCCATATTCTTAGAATGTCAAAACCGAGGCAACAAAGAAGACTAAAGTTGTTCCCAAAATTGAAAAGGCAGAACAACCAAAGCCCACTGTCTCAGTTAAACAAGTTCCTGAGGTGCAGGTAAGTTGTAAATGGGTGGTGAGTGCTCACATGACAAGGCTAGTTTATTTATATAGCGCATTGTGTAAGAGACCATTCAAAGTGCCTTTTCAAAGAGTTTGAAATCACAAAATCAAACATCCAAATAAATTGGATGTGAAGGGTGCAGATAAAATGCATTGTTTCAATGTACACTTTTTAAAGTCCAGATTTAAATATTGTCAGAGTTGAGGCCTGTCTCACTTGTTCAGTTACACTGTTCCAGTCTTTTGGAGCGTAAAACTTTAAGGTTTGGGTCTGACTGAGCATGAGACTAGGACCTTTCTGAATTGGTTCATAAGGTGCTAACATGTCAAATTTATTTTCATGCTTCACCTTGAACAGACTTGTTTTAAAGTCTGTACTCTGAGTGACAGGAAGCCAGTGCAGAGTCCTGAGCACTGGACTGATGTGGTTGTATGTTCCGGTCAAAACTGGAGCAGCAGCATTCTGGATGTTCTGCAGCTTTCTTATTTCTGCTCAGTGAGCAGCTGTTGCACTAGTCTAACATGCTAGAGAGAAATGCATGGATTGGGCCTTCTAGGTCTGGTTTAGGCACTATTTTTCTGACTCTGTCAATGTTTTTGAGATGGTAAAAGGCTGTTAGATAGTGGTGTGTATCTGTCTATTTAGAAAGCATGTTTGTGTTGTGACAGTTGCCAGCTCTACCTGAACCAGCCTCTCCCACTCCAATGGAGACCTCTGGCTGTGAGCCCGCTGACCTCTGTCAGGCGTTTTCCGACGTCATACTCAACACGGCTATCCGGGATGTGGACGCAGACGACTACGACAACCCCATGCTCTGCAGTGAATACGTGAAGGATATTTACAAATATCTCCGTCACCTCGAGGCGAGTGGGTTGAATAAAACCAGATCAATTGCAATTGTTACATCATGTCTGACGGCACATTTGACACTCTGTCTTAGTTGGAGCAAGATGTCAAGCCGAACTACCTGCAGGGTCAGGAGGTCACTGGAAACATGAGGGCCATCCTAATCGACTGGCTGGTGCAAGTGAACCTCAAATTTCGCCTACTGCAGGAGACTATGTACATGACTGTAGGAATAATTGACCGCTTTCTTCAGGTGAGTGTTGCAGATGACGTTAACTTTGTCTGGACCTACAGCTTTCAGCCCCTGTTATTAGGATTTTAATTGTTTTTTTAATTTTTTTTTGTGCACAGGACCACCCAGTCCCCAAGAAGCAGCTGCAGCTGGTTGGAGTGACTGCCATGTTCCTTGCTTCCAAATACGAGGAAATGTATCCTCCAGAGATCTCGGACTTTGCCTATGTGACGGACAGGGCCTATACGACAGCCCAAATCCGAGACATGGAGATGACCATTCTGCGAGTGCTCAAGTTCCAGCTCGGGCGCCCCCTTCCACTGCAGTTCCTCAGAAGGGCTTCAAAGATCTACGAGGTTTGTTTGTGTGGATTTTCTTTCCTGGCTTAAATTCTAAACCTCTGTACCGTGTCTCCATGGTAATTTTCTGACTTCAATCTTGTTAGGTAACTGCTGAACAGCACACTCTAGCAAAATACCTGCTGGAGCTCACTATGGTTGACTACGAGATGGTTCATTTCCCACCTTCTATAGTGGCCAGTGCTGCTTTGGCACTTGCACTTAAGGTCTTGGATGCAGGCGAGTGGGTGAGTTTGCATCTAAAATCTGCTTTACAAGTAAACGCGTGTCAAATCGACTTGTACTCCAATATGGGCGTGTTTTCAACGGCCTTAAATTCAACTTGTAAAAGTGCATAGTTGAGTCTAACAGTATGAATTCCCCTTCAGGATGTAATGCTGCAGCACTACATGGGCTACACAGCAGAGAGTTTGAATCCTGTTATGGTGCACATTGCCAAGAATGTTGTCAAAGTGAACGATGGGCTTACCAAGCACGTGGTAAGATTGGATAACAGTGTCTGCTATAGGACTGCAGATGACTATCCGAGACTAATGTCAACCTCCTTTTTTGCAGGCCGTCAAAGGAAAATACTCTACTTCAAAGCAGATGAGGATTGCCACCATCGCTCAGCTGAAATCTTCGTTGGTTAAGGATTTAGCAAAACAGCTCACTCAGTGAGATGGACAATATTCAGCACCATGTGCCGATATGTACAAAACTAACTTAAACTTTTAACATGGGAACTTGGTCTAATTCAGTGGTTTGCATGTTTAACCAACTGATTTCTTTTATACAAATGGGAGTTTCTCTAAAATCATTTCTGGTTACTTTTATTTCCCCACTCTAAATTTGCAATGTCAGTCCGAGTCTATTGCTGACTGTAGCAAACTTTTTCTTCCCTTGTTTGCTACCTGAAATCCTTAGTCAGAATTTGACTAGGATATGTTTTAATGGAAATGTCTTGATGTATAGGAGTGGCTTTGTAAAATGTACAGCTTTTACCTTTATTTTATTGTTTTATCACTTGTAATAAATGGTCTTGACCAGGAAACTGCATCTCTGTCATATCTTAATTGTGTTCTCCCTTTTGCCACTAGAGGCTGCTGTAAGACAGGTTTAAAATAGTTTGACATTTTGTGGCGCCTTCAATCCAACTGAACTTTAAAACATCCACAGTGCTATAAGAATTTTATCAAGACAAATCAGCCAGGCCGTTAAAACGATAGTGACTGGTAAGGTGGGACAAAGATTTAAAGGGAAAAAAAAACCCAAAATGTATGGCCAGTCAAGTGAGTTGAATGCACAAGTTTACATGCACTGGTTAGAGATTTACCTACTATCATTCTACCCCCCCCCCCCCCCATTATAAAGTGCATTAAAGTAAGCCTATTGCTTAAAGATTTTATCATCTTTAAAAGTTTATAGCCACTTGGGCTATAAACTTGGTCATCCAAACACCGAAGTAGTGGTTTAACAGTAAATGCCTCTTTTAAAAGGGGAGATCATCCATAAATAGAAACAATACTTGCTAAGTTTAGAAGCAACTCCAGAAGAGGGCCTAAAATTGAGCCCTGGGGGACTTTACATGATGTCTGAGCGGAGGAGTCCCTTAGACTGACAGCATGTTTGATAAGCAAAGTATGACCAGAGCCATTCCAGTGCAACAGCCCTGATTATCCCCTACCATTCTGAACAGAATACTTAAAGGTGAGTTTAAAACTCAAGCTGCCTCCATGCTCTGCAAGGTTCTAAAACCAGTTTGGAATACTTAAACGTCACACTCTTCCAGAAAACATTGATAAACTACCTTCTTGGAGATTTTTTGCAATAAAACGATATTAGAGATCTAAAATGTGCAGAAAGTGTCTAGTCTATTTAATCAAAGGTTGTACAATTGTGTGTTTGAAGTGTTAAGGGACAACAATTTATGACAAACTGCTATTAATAGGTGCCAGGACAGAGGACCTTATAGTGGGGAGAACCTCTTTAAATAGTTATTGAGGGACCACATCGTTTATAGAGCTTGTGGGCTTTAAGTGACCAACAGTTTTCTGTAACAAGGACAAAGTCACAGAATCAAACCTGTCAAAGACAGCAGAGCAAGGCACAAAGACTGAATTGTAATGTGCAGAACAGAGATCATGAGAGGAAATATCATAAAAAAATGTACTTTTAGCATCTCTGAACATTTTTTGATAATCAAGGAACTTAAAAATGTTAAAGTGGCTAAAGTGTTAGCTTGCTGAACTTAAACATGAATAAGAGTCAAATTATTTGCCAGAATACAACCACAGTATTAAGATATGTAATGCTGTTGTTCATGTCTTAAAGGCAGATCATTTTTTGGGGTTATTTTCTTTTGGTTCTTTTCCTTTTCTGGTGTTTTGTGCTGCCAAGTGATATCTGCTGCTGTTAGAATTCTTCTGCTCTTCCAGTCAATAGCGGCACAGTAAATGATCATGACATTATGAGATGAATATTCTTAAAAGCTCATTGATGTCAAATATTCAATTAACTTCCTAAGATATTAGCAGGCAAATGCTGTTTAGAATTCAACTGTAAAGGCTCCTTGCCATTTAAGTTGCATGTAGTTAAGGCTAATGGACGGGGCAAAGAGAGAGCTATTATCACTATCCATTTGCAGCTGGGACCCCGTACTATCCGTCTTGCCTCATGGGGATGTGCAAAGAGCATGGTAGTATAAGACCACCTGCCATCTGCACAATGTGAATAACTGTGCAGATCATTAGGCCATCAGCTAAAGGCCTGTGGGATAACGGCCCGACTACGGTACATCTGTTGAAAAACCCAAGACACGAAGGTGGGTGGGTGGGAGAGAGGGTTTGGATTTATTTTTAGTGCGCCCAGTGTGTGAAGTATTTAAAAAAGAAATTCTCATCACATTAGGGTTTGCTGTCAATAGTCCGCTGACATATAAACGCAGCCAATTGATGCTTTCAGATTTCGCATAATAAATCCAGTCTTAGCAATACGTCAGCTTCCAAACAGTTTACTGCCACCTTAAAAACACGTCTTCAGTTCAACACACAAAGATATATATACACACAAAGCTGTCTATCTCTACATACACATATATATATGCATGTATAATTTATTCTTGTGTGCTGAGGTCATGACTATGCAGCCATATCAGTTTACAAGACAGATTCCTCCTTTATTGAGCTCCAAACCGTGCACTTGCAGCTGCCTGGAACAAGCGCTTACCCTTCCTGACAGGAATTCGGCTGTGTTACATTTATTAGGATGGAAAATCTAACGTAGAGGTTGTACGTTATGAGAGAGCTCAGGAGCTGGAACTTGTGCTTCCAAATAACCTGACGATTCCTCCCCACGCGATGTCAGGATCCGTGGAGCGTGGATCTGCTTGCAGAAACTTGGTCAGGAACAACACAGAATCTCAAGAATCTCAAAATCCAAAACATTTCTTTTATTGGAGAACTATATAAATATATATATAAATGTATAAAAATACAAACGAAGAGGTTCTGGAAATAAGTACATACCAAAGATCGCTGTGAAAACACAGGAGAAAACTATCAACATAAAGGACCTGTAAAAAACAACAGGAAATAGATCAACAAAAATACTTGCCTGCAGATAAAGTGTAAAATATACCTACCTTATATTTGCTGTGCAGGCCACAGGAAAAGACACTCTCAAAAAGAGAATGAAGATCTGAAAAAACTGGACACGAGAGGTTAAACTGCTTAAAGAAGCACGCGGAAATAAATATGGAGGATAGAAAGCACAGACTTATCTGGCACTGGCAGAATGTTTTTGGCAAAAGTGAAGAGCCAGGTGAGATTAGTCTACCGCTTAATTAAATTGTAATAACAGGGAAATTGATGACCATCTGCTATGATACATGATCTAAGTTTTAAATTTGTATAATTCGAAATGTCAAGGAAATATCTAGTTAATTATCAAAACATCTACAAGCTGGAATGGCTAAAATACTTGCACCAAGTGAATAGCGGACTTTGGGCGATTATAACCTTGATTTCTCCTCAAGAAGGAAACGTCAAACGTAATTGATCAATTTCACGAACAATGCACGGTCCACCATAGTATACAAGGCTTGGTGGTCATTTAATCGAGGTGGGACTGTTACCGATGTTAAAAGGAGTCTGCTATCTGATGGTCTAGCAAGGTCAGTAGAATATAAGGAAAATCCATTAATCAAAAATGAGCCTGCTAATGTTTTTTGGAAAATGTTTCAGGCAAGGGATGCACAAATTGCAGCGTATTAGCTAATTAGGTTAAGGGAGATGAATGTAAGTGTTACTGCTATTCATTATATATTCCATTTCTCTGATTTTGGGTCTGTAAAACCGAAAATACGTTAAGAAAACAATCAGTCAGACTCGATGGCCTTATAAGATTTAAATCACATTTTGTGACAACAGTTTGTGTATTTTTGCACATTTCAGAGTCTTTCCAGCTCAACTGCCATGTCCTTTTTCATGTTTATACATGCGCTTTCAGTTTTATGAATCTGCCAGTCAGCACTGAGGTCCAGAAAGAATGCAATGTTCGGCTTCAGACGTCTCGGTGTTCCAGCGACTCGACTCTCAACCACATGTAGATCATCCAAGACCCGAGTCAAAAGTTTCGAAATCCTTCTTTAGTCTAAACACTGTCGGAGATGGCCTGGAATTTTAACAAGTGCACCCTTCAAAATGAATCAATGCCCGTTCTCACCTCACATTCGACAAAGTCTGCGTGTCTCAATTCGGTAATGACTAAGTCAAACAAACACCCAGCTTGAGGCAGCACTGTTAAGGTTTCCGTGGGGTGCTAATATGTTGTAAGCTGGCAATTGGAAAAGAGGCCCCCGGACTTGAGAGAAAAAGAGTAGCACAAATAAATACAGGGACGTTCAATTTCACAATTCATATATTTTCAAATAAAAATTCTCTGCTTCCTGAAGTCTATTGACCTTTGGCGCGAACGTCGCACGGCTTGGAAAGAATGTAAAGAAAGGCTTTCATTGTGGCCTGAAATGGTGAGTGTTTGAGCTGTGTATGAGCAGGATTTTATCCAAGCCTCTTCAACATCTTTGCTTTCAGTATGACTGATAGGCAGAGTGCTATCTTCTCCTCACGATCGAGGAGTTGAGTGCTTGTTGAGTTGACGCAGACTTTAGACCTATGGTTCTGTTTAAAGACATGCCTTGCAACCTCACCTTAGGGGTAGAGCACACAAACATTTCAAAGTTTGTATCAAACATGATTTGACCCTCGATTTGCTGAAACATAAAAAAATATACCATCAAAAGATACATTTTCTGTGCTGTCTTTAGAGATGTGTTGTATACCTTTTTTAAAAACTCCCTAGGAGAGCTTTTTAGAATTTTCCTCATAGCTCCATTTAAAAGTTTGAAATGGCTATGAAGGAAATTGCCAGAACAGCAAAGGTACATGTTAAAGAGTGGAAGTTCCATCCATCCATCCATCCATTATCAATACCGCTTATTCCCTGATGGGGTCGCGAGGGGAACTGGAGCCTATTCCAGTGGTCAACGGGCGAGAGGCAGGGGACACCCTGGACAGTCCGCCAGTCCATCGCAGGGCCACACAGAGACACACAAGGACAAACAACCACTCACACTCACAGTCACTCCTAAGGGCAATTTATGCAGGTTTTTGGACTGTGGGAGGAAGCCGGAGAACCCGGAGAGAACCCACGCAGACACAGGGAGAACATGCAAACTCCACCCAGAAAGGTCCTGGTTCCCCAGAGTGGAAGTTAAATCAAGTAATTCTAATTAACAGTGGATAGCCATTACAGTGTGATAGTTCTCAGCGATCACATCTGGTATCTGAGTAGCATCTACAGACCAGCTCAGTGTATTGTGGTTGCCGAGAGGCATTGGTTCTTTTGCTGTTCACTTCCCCCTCCGGAGGGGTTTTCCCATTGGCATTCTCTCCAAAAATGTTAAAGATTTTGCTCCAGTAATTTGGTCCAGAATGGAAACAGTAGAATTTTTACAGGAATTAACCAACCAGTTGTATGTTTCTCTGACCTGGA